ACTGGGTGGCTTGCAATAACATTACTCAAACAATTACAGGATTGTTTTACAAGCAGTAGAAATGATGTGCTAACAATATTAAAAAGAGAAGGCCATACTTTTAAACCAGGTGTGCATTTATGAAGAGTGACTGTTTCACCTGTGTTGTCCCTCCTTGTGAAGCTGCTGTTAAAAGCCAAATGAAAGATTATCAGTATGTAGACTAATGCTAGCCATACACCAGTTGAAAAAGTGTTCAAACACATTTTTAAAACACAAAACACACAGTCATGAGAGCAAGCGATATTGCCATCATGTAATGACTGATTTTCGAACAATAATTCGTTCCATAGACATAAATGAATCAGTTTTTTGTTTGTATTGTAACATATGCACAGTACGAACAGTTTGATTTTTATTGGGTGAGAAACACATTAACCTTTCAATTTCTCATCAGTTCAGCAGTTCTCCAAAACTTTTCCTTTCATTTTTTGGCTCGTTTTTCTATTTGTTCCCTTAAATGATTGAATTATCCAAATGACAGATGCTCAAATGACTTTTCATCTAGTGGATGGGCACCATTAGGCCTCATGTACCCTTGAGCTGAAAAACACCTGTATTACAGGTGTGTTGTTTTTCTGCCTCTAAACACTCTTCCATGATAGCCTATGTATGCACACAGGCATTTACAGGAGTTGAGGCAGAAAAACAAAACAAAAAAAATCTCACTTGTGCATTCAACAGGAGGAGCATTTTGCAATAAAAAGATTCAAAATGCACCTAAACACCGATAAGCACATATAAGCATTAGGTGCATTTAGTGCTTGAGTGGTTTTTCATTTTAGTGATATATCAGTGACCAGAATAAATCCATATTCTGGCCAATTAAATACATGCCTAAGCCAGAAAAAAAGCATTTATAAAAGCCCCAGTGTGCAGGAAGCACTAAAGTGATTCTAAATACACAGTTTAATTTACATTATCCCTTCTCTTTATTTATATGGATGATGGCATCAGGTTTTTTTTTTTTGTGTGTGTGTGAAATAAATACACATACTTCTAAGCACCTTTTTTCATAATGGATATACATCTGTCATTTGATCTCTTTCCCAGCCCATCTGCAGGGAAACATCAGCAAGGGGAGTTTCTAGCCCTCTGCTGCTGGTCACATACAAAGAAAAAAAAAAAAAATGACGCCTTCGACACAACAGGAAAAATATGCAATTAATATCAAATAAATGTTTAAAATGTCATACAAATATGTATTTGAACTCTAATCTTTATTTGTGGCACAAAAAAAAAACATTGTGTGGGCTATTAGGAGGTTCTGCCAATCACAGCCCGTTTCACACCCCTCAAGCTTGTGTCTGTTTGTATGTGCTTAGAATTACAGGGAGGTGAAGCCTCCATCAATCAACATGTAAGTATCTAAGGGAACTAAAACTGGCACATGCTCAGTAGATGTGGCAATGGATGGTCTACACCAGTAGGCAACCTTGGCACTCCAGCTGCTGTAAAACTGCAAATCCCATGAGGCATTTTGAGACTGACAGCTAAAAGCATGATTCCCAGAGGCAGTGCCATGATGGGATTTGTAGTTTCACCACAGCTGTAATGTTAATGTTGCCTACCGCTGGTCTACATAATCTCAGGCTGCAGTGGGGACACAGACACGGAAGGAGGGAAAGTGAACAGCAGCATCAACCAGGTTTTTTGCAGAGTACAGAAAATGAATCCCATAGTGACTGAGTGATTATGAACAGCATGCAATACAGCATGTACTGACAGTTTGTAAATTATGTGGTTTTAATGTCATTTTATACAAATATGCATATTGCATAAAGAATGTTAATTATGCTTATTTTACGGTGCCATAAACAGAGATCTGAAAAGCATCGCTAATCCTCTCCTGTGTGAAACAGTTCTATGGCCCACATATCACACCTCCTGGCTACTCCTATAGCCTTTTACATGTCCCACATCTTGAGTGAAATAAAGGGGCTGTCACTTGTGACCACCCTCTGAAATGCTAGCTTCTTGGCTGTCTCTGATTTCAATACTTTAAAGGCCCATTTACACTATTACATTGCACTAATGAGCTTCCAGATTTGTAAAGTTAGAATTCTTGACTTGCATACTGGTCAGTACCCCAAGAATAGGGCCTGTTCACATCATCTTAGGAAACACATCCCTTTTCCTCAAAGTGCATAATAGGGGGAACTAAAGAGTGGCACAGGCTTTATGCCTGTGCACACCTCTAAACTGAAAAGTGAAGCAGATCTTGATCCTAATTAACAGAAGGGGTTCAGCCCCTTTGATAATTAGAAGTAAAATGCTCTGTGTTTCATACTGTGTTTGTGACACACACAGCACAGAGAGCAGTTCAGCTGAAGCTGCATGCTTTGGATCCCTCTGTCTACACAGATCTTTTTGCTTTGTTAATGTGCAGCATGCCAGCTTCCTGCACCATTATATTGGTTACATTGTTTATTCCCCCCCAATGCACTTTTAATGTGTTGCATTAAAATGTAATGCAACGCAAGACACTTTTTTTTTTTTTTTTTTTTGCAGACACATGTAACTTGAAAAACACTAATTAAAGTGCACATTGTGTTTTCAATGCAATGCCAACTGTAATGAATTAGGTGGCAAAATGCACAAAACATATAGGAAGCAGTATTGAAAAAAAACAACAAAAAAACAAAAAACAAACAACCCACACTGATGTAAGGAGATTTATAGGTTTATAATGGTAACAATTTTTAGTATATTTTTTATAGCACTTTGATCCTGTGTTGTAGAGCACATAAAATGCAATGGTGTGAGTGGGCCCAAAAGGGACAGCATGAACATAGTAAATAGCAGTTATAGGAAGTAAATAAATAGCAGCCTTAATGCATTTTATGGCATTTAACATTAGGGTTAGCAGATATGCTTGGTAATGAACTATAAAATTGAAAAAGTAGCAAATAAGTAATTGTTATGATATAGAACACGGCATCCCCTATCATTTAGTGATTTGATTATTGGTAAAAGAATGTTAAAAGAATTTTCTGCAATTATCCTAACCTAAATAAAAGTTTATAGACAGGATATTGTCTTTTCTTGTGCAATAACTATAAATTAGGCCTCTGCTCATCTGCAACTTGTCTTCCCTAGGTTTGTAGGAAAACATCAAAAGGTGAAATGCAAACTTGAGGGTTTGCACTTTAGAAAGTTCTTTGTATTTAGAATCTGCAAAATTGTAGCATATACAGCACATGGATATCTTGTGTTTGCATGCATAACAATTGGCTTAATGGATCATTTGGCCCTCACTCTCAGGAAACCGAGCCACAGGTGAACCATTGGCAAGTAGTGTTGTGACCCATAAAGGACACCTACATTTTGCCCATGTAGGGTAACAAAATGAATTTGTTTTCGAGTCTAGTCCACCAGCAGTATATATTCACCTTTCCATCATCCCCAGACAATAGGAGCTAAGAAAATACCCTGACGCTTTTTTTGGTATAGAAGAGCATGTAACAGCACTGGTTCTTTGTGATTGGCACCGCATTGTTACGGGGTGGGGATACAGTCGGCCATGTGTAAGCTCTGACTAGAGCTTATACTGGGCTGTACTTCCTAGTTTCTGCTGCTTAACAGAGGAGCAAAAGGAAAAGTGAGTATGAGTAAGTAATCTGGTGGACTGGATTTTATAGAGAACATGCTGCTTTCCCTTGAATAGGCAAAGTATTTTAACATCATATTGATGGACCTGTGCAGACTAAAATAAATTAATCCAAATTTTTTGTTTAAAAAAAAAAAAAAACCACAGCGGTTTTTTTTCCTTCCTAATTACTTGAAATTGCAATTGGCAACTCCCAATACAAGCATGGTGCTCACGTTCAAGTTAACTACACAGATATATTCCGACATATTCCCCTCTGTGGAATATGTAGTCAAAATGGTCATTAGTTATACTAACTAAACAGGACTACTAAAATATATTAACATAAATAAAAAGATAGTTTATTCTATGCAGAGAATAAATACAACTTTATTAACTGATTGTAGAAGACAGGACTGTTTGAACCATCATTGTAAACCGGTGAAACAGCAGCTAGTGCAGATCTGTGCATGTCAGACAAACATATCTGGAGACATTAGTTTAACACAACACACCGACTCTAATCTCTGCCTTTGTTTTAAATTATAAAACATGATCGTTTCAGTGCTTGCAATAATCTGGTATTAGAAACTTCCCATACCGTATATCACTGTATAGGTGAGCACAGCAGCAATATTCAGTAATGCCAGTTTTCTTTACAAGATCAATTAACCTGTTCATTGTCATAAATAGTCAAAACAAGTTAAAGTAGAACTTCTCAAATATGAAGATGGAGAATATCATGTTACACTCCCATCAGTACCCAAGGTGCACCACCAGAATAGTCCCAATTCAAACAATTTCTGGGACCTCTACCCAGAACTTTTACCAGTCTCAATTACAGAGACTACTACAGAATCCGCACCTAAATAGAGGAATATGCACAAGGTGACAAACCCTGGAGTGTAATTTGTGTACTACATTTGCTCAACTAATGGTGGAAATATACGCTAACTTCTTCCCCTCTATTTGTGTGACACAAAAACTTTACGGTTTTCAAAAAGGTTCTGCTTGTAGTTGAAACTGGGACTCCATCAGTAGCCTATGGAATTGCAATTCTGCTCACCTATAATTTTCTCTTTAGATAATTAACTGAATTCTTTACCAAACAGTGGCTTAAACAAAAACAAAAGAAAACAATTATTACATATGTAAAAAAAAAATGTAGATCTGTGCCATAAAAAAACAGCAGTCCAGTTATATTAATTATCCCATGGGTATTTTTTGTAAAGTGGGATAAACATATCAAAACATTGTGTTTTCACTTTAAAGGAAAAAAAAAAAAAAGTGTTTGTCTCCGCGGTTCCACAATCACTGAAAGAGGAAAAGGCAGAGGCTGTTTTACACAACTCCAAAGATGAAACTGCAGCCTTCAAGATGCTTCATTTTCTGTAGGGGATGTAGGTGATGTTGGGGAGACAATATCAGGTTTACGAGAGATTCTATCCAGTTCAGCTTGGACGTCTGTTAACACTGGCTTTTGGCCTTTAAAAGAATAGATGACATGGTAATAAGACATATTACTGAGATTTTAAATATTTCAATAAACGTTATACTTTGTCATTTATGAAACCCCCAAACATTAAATATCTTCTAAAAGCTGACACTCTAGAGCAGCGGTTCTCAACCTGGGGGTCGCGACCCCTTTGGGGGTCGAACGACCATTTCCCAGGGGTCGCCTAAGACCATCGGAAAACACATATTTCCGATGGTCTTAGGAACCGAGACGCCGCTCCTGTCTCCGGCGATGTGTGGGCGGGATGATATGCTGCCCCTGTCACCGCCTCCTCGCCGCTGATTGGCCACCGGAACTGTAGCTCAGGAGAGGCACACAGGCGGCCAATCACCGGCGAGAAGGTGGAGCTTGGAGAAGAGGAGCCGAGCGGCAGCGCGCGGAGATCGAAGAAGATCGAGGGAGCTGCAGGAACGAGTGAAGAGAGAGGCCAGAGAAGGAAGAAAGCTGACAGGTAAGTGCAAATTTTGCTGCTGCAGCCAGGTATGCAGGCTGTAGATGGGAGAGGGAGAGAGCGAGCCCAGGCTGGAGCAGGAGTCAGCAAGGTAAGTATCATTGGTGTCAGTGGGAGGGATAGTGCCCCATCATTTGTGTCGCTAATACCAACGATGGGGCACTATTCCTCCCCCCACTGACACCAACGATGGGGCACTATTCCTCCCCCCACTGACACCAACGATGGGGCACTATTCCTCCCCCCACTGACACCAACGATGGGGCACTATTCCTCCCCCCACTGACACCAACGATGGGGCACTATTCCTCCCCCCACTGACACCAACGATGGGGCACTATTCCTCCCCCCACTGACACCAACGATGGGGCACTATTCCTCCCCCCACTGACACCAACGATGGGGCACTATTCCTCCCCCCACTGACACCAACGATGGGGCACTATTCCTCCCCCCACTGACACCCACGATGGGGCACTATTCCTCCCACTGACACCCACAATGGGGCACTATTCCTCCCACTGACACCAATGATGGGGCACTATTCCTCCCACTGACACCAATGATGGGGCACTATTCCTCCCACTGACACCAATGATGGGGCACTATTCCTCCCACTGACACCAATGATGGGGCACTATTCCTCCCACTGACACCAATGATGGGGCACCATTTCTCCCACTGATACCAATGATGGGGCACCATTTCTCCCACTGACACCAATGATGGGGCACTATTTCTCCCACTGACACCAATGATGGGACACTATTCCTCCCACTGACACCAATGATGGGACACTATTCCTCCCACTGACGCCAATGATGGGGCACCATTCTCCCACTGATACCAATGATGGGGCACCATTTCTCCCACTGACACCAATGATGGGGCACTATTTCTCCCACTGACACCAATGATGGGACACTATTCCTCCCACTGACACCAATGATGGGACACTATTCCTCCCACTGACGCCAATGATGGGACACTATTCCTCCCACTGACGCCAATGATTGGGCACTATTCCTCCCACTGACGCCAATGATTGGGCACTATTCCTCCCACTGACGCCAATGATTGGGCACTATTCCTCCCACTGACACCAATGATGGAACACTATTCCTCCCACTGACACCAATGATGGGGCACTATTCCTCCCACTGACACCAATGATGGGACACTATTCCTCCCACTGACGCCAATGATTGGGCACTATTCCTCCCACTGACACCAATGATGGAACACTATTCCTCCCACTGACACCAACGATGGGGCACTATTCCTCCCACTGACACCAATGATGGGACACTAGTCCTCCCCCCACTGACACCAACGATGGGGCACTATTCCTCCCACTGACACCCACAATGGGGCACTATTCCTCCCACTGACACCCACAATGGGGCACTATTCCTCCCACTGACACCAATGATGGAACACTATTCCTCCCACTGACACCAATGATGGGGCACTATTCCTCCCACTGACACCAATGATGGGACACTATTCCTCCCACTGACACCAATGATGGGACACTATTCCTCCCACTGACACCAACGATGGGACACTATTCCTCCCACTGACATCAGTGATGGGGCGCTAGTCCTCCCACTGCAAAATTACAGTTATGAAGTAGCAACGAAAATAATTTTATGGTTGGGGGTCACCACAACATGAGGAACTGTATTAAGGGGTCGCGGCATTAGAAAGGTTGAGAACCACTGCTCTAGAGAATAAAATAGTGGTAGTAAGAAATACACTAAAGTGAATATTAGGGCACAAACATTTAATTACCCAAATTTGTGGTAAAATATACAAGATGAGGTTGCACCTAGTAAATAGATGCCCAACATCCAAAAAAATAATAAAATAAAATAGTAGAATGGGACTTTTGAGGAACACCATTATTGAATAAAACTTTTATTTCATCCATATATAAAATATATGATCCATATATAAAAAGAGAAGATACTTGCAACAATTTTAGATTAAATTAATTATGTATTTTGATCAACAGCTTTACATAATAAAATAATATTTCACTTATATGACACATCAAGTTCAAGAAATATGCAAAAAATGGCTGACGCATTTCTTGAACAAAATCCACTTCTTCAGGAGCCAATTTATACAACAAATGTTCTAAAATAATAACACTCAAAATTAGTACAATATAAACTCATTATTTTTATAGAGGGATGTTGATTATTAATCAATAATAGGGAGAAAAAAAACAGACACCAAAAAGGGGGGAAAAAAAATACAGAAGTGGTGGAGCAAAAACAGGGTGCCCAGTGAGAGCCTAACGATCTACTACTCTTGGGTGTATTAGATGAAAATTTATTTCAACCCAGCCTATCTTCAGAGCTCAAGGTTGAGGAATTTATATACCACTATATCTTGATTCAAAACAGCCAATTTCAAAATAAAGTAATAATTCTCCCCTCCAAAAGGTCTATAATATAAACACATCAAAGTGGTTCCAGAGTATACCCATATAACATAAACCAATAAAGAACGATCACAATATAACCCACCTTTAATTATCCAGGGCGTCCGATACAGTGCATTCAGAAAGTATTCACAGCGCTTAACTTTTGCCACATTTTGTTTATGTTACAGCCTTATTCCAAAATGTAATAAACAAATTTTATTCCTCAACAGTCAACATACAATACCCCATAATGACAATGTGAAAGAAGTTAGTTTTGAAATCTTTGCAATTTATTAAAAAAAAAAAATAAAAAACACACATGTACAGAAGTATTCACAGCCTTTGCTCAATACTTTGTTAAAGCACCTTTAGAACCAATTACAGCCTCAAGTCGTTTTGAGTATAATGCTGCAAGCTTGGCACACCTATTTTTGGGCAATTTCTCCCATTCTTCTTTGCAGTGCCTCTCAAGCTCCATCAGGTTGGATGGGGAGCATCGGTACACAGCCATTTTCAGATCTCTCCAGAGATGTTCAATCTGGTTCAAGTCTGGGCTCTGGCTGGGCCACTCCAGGATATTCACAGAGTTGGCCCATAGCCACTCATTTGTTCTGTGGGCTGTGTGCTTATGGTTGTGGTCCTGTTGAAAGATGAACCATCGCCCCAGTCTTAGGTCCAGAGTGCTCTGGAACAGGTTTTCATCAATGATGTCTCTGTACATTGCTGCAATTGTCTTTCCTTCAATCCTGACTAGTCTTCCAGTTCCTGCCGCTGAAAAACATCCCCCCACAGCATGATGCTGCCACCACCATGCTTCACTGTAGGGATGGTGCTGGCCAGGTGGTGAGCGGTGCCTGGTTTCCACCAGACATGACGCTTGGCATTCAGGCCAAAGAGTTTTTGTTTCATCAAACCGGAGTATTGTTTCTCATGGTCAGAGTCCCTCAGGTGCCTTTTGGCAAACTCCAGGCAGGCTGCCATTGCCTGAGGAAGGCTTTCGTCTGGCCATTTTACCATACAAGCCTGATTGGTGGAGTGCTGCAGAGATGGTTCTTCTTCCGGAAGGTTCTCCTCTCTCCACAGAGAAAATCTGGAACTCTTTCAGAGTGACCATCGGGTGCTTGGTTACCACCCTGGCTAAGGCCCTTCTCCCTGGATCACTCATTTTGGTTAGGTGGCCCACTCTAGAAAGATTCCTGGTGGTTCCAAACTTCTTCCATTTACGGATGATGGAGACCACTGTGCTCATTAGGACCTTTAATGCTGCAGAAAATTTTCTGTACCCTTCCCCAGATCTTTGCCTTGATACAATCCTGTCTAGGAAGTCTATAGACAATTCCTTGGACTTCATGGCTTGGTTTGTGCTCTGACATGTACTGTTAACTGTGGGACCTTATATAGACAGGTTTATGCCTTTCCTAATCATGTCCAATCAACTGAATTTCCCACAGGTGGACTCCAATCAAGTTGTGGAAACATCTCAAGGATGATCAGTGGGAATGGGATGCACCAGAGCTTAATTTTGATTGTCAAGGCAAAGGCTGTGAATACTTATGTACATGTGGTTTTTTTTTTTCGTTTTTTATTTTTAATAAATTGCAAAGATTTCAAAACAAACTTCTTTCACGTTGTCATTATGGGGTATGGTTTGTAGCATTTTGAAAAAAAAAATTTAATTGAATCCATTTTGGAATAAGGCTGTAACATAACAAAATGTGGCAAAAGTTAAGTGCTGTGAATACTTTCTGGATGCACTGTATAGGTCCTTAAATTATAGACCCTTTGGAGGGAAGAACCATTACTTTACTTTGAAATGAGCTGTTTAGGATCAAGATATTGTGGTATATAAAGTTGTGGATTCCTTGATCATTGAAGGTAGGCTGGGTTGAAAAACAATTTAATCGAATACAACCAAGAGGAGAATAGATTATAGCACTCACTATTGTATTTTTTGTACTTTAGACCTTTATTAGGAGGATAGGATGATACTCTATTTGTCCCCTTTGATCTCTCTGGAGAATATACGTACCGTATTTGCTGGCGTATAAGACGACTGGGCGTATAAGACGACCCCCTACTTTTCC